GGCCAGAATCAGTCTGGGGATAACGAGGTCAGTTCAATCAGGGAGGATGAGGCCCTCTTCTAGCAGTTGAGGTGTGAAAACCAAGAGAGGAGAAACTGCTTTTGTAGTTGGCTGGTCATTCACAGTCTTTGTTTAATCCTTATACTTGCCTCTGGAAATTTCCACCACATGAGTCTGACAAAGTGGGTATTCACCCACGAAAGCTTATATATGTCCAATATATGTCTGTTAGTCTATAAGGTGCCACGGGATTCTTTGTTGCTTTTTACAGATCCAGACTAACACGGCTACCTCTCTGATTGTTTAAATAATGCATCCTGTACATTTTTTTTCGGGGGGGGGGGGGAAGGAAGGGGGAATCAAAACCAACCTCATTGAAATTTTTGATCTAATGAAAAGTCCCCCCCCAGCCCTTCAAAAGGAAAACAATACTTCGAAAGTTCATTGTTTTTGTTAAGCTAGTTTTTCATTTTTCAATCAGCTCTATTATTACACAGCTCGAAGTATTACGCTTACTGGGGGACTCAGTGATATTTCCGATCACAAGAAAATAGGAGGGGTGCTGATGGTAGGGAAGGATGGTGATGCAGCTAGAGCATAGGGCTAGCAGTCAGGGCTATTCTTGGCTCTCCTACAGGCTTCCCGTCTGGTCTCAGGGAAGTACCCAGGGTCAACATGCTTTGAAAAGTAACCCCTGATTTTGAGCATCTCAATCTGAGACAACACAACATACACCTGCTTTTCCAAGTAACTTCAAATGAGACTAAGTACTCAGCACCTCTGAACATCTGGCCCAAACCCAGACACCTAAAATTGGCATGCCTTAGTTCTCTCATTTGTGTAACAGGGATAATAATACCGACAGACTTCAAAAGGGAGTTGTGCAGCTCAATTAATCACTCTTTGCAAAGTGCTTTGTGTGCCATGTATGGTTGGGGCTGAACAAATACACTTACTGGGTTTCGGAGACTGAAAAGTGTCCCAAAGTTCACTGGCAAGTACAAGGGTACATGAGTTTGCCTGTTGCAAGGGGAGAAGTGTAAGGACAAGTGTTCTCCTTCACTGTAACAGAACAGTTCAGAGGCTACAGGCATTTTACAGAATCATACTCCACAACAAATGCGTTTGCTTGTGAATACGGTGTGGCTTTTGCTCTCGGTCTTCCACTCTATGTCCTAGCAGCTGAAGGGGATTGGAGGGCTTGAGGAGGAAACCTACAGTATTACATCAAATGTTCACACTCCCAGAGCATGTACCCTAGACACACACTAGAGCCCAATGCACACTAGGGTGGGGGAATCGATCTAAGATACACAACTTCAGCTACGTGAATAGCGTAGCTGAAGTCGAAGTATCTTAGATTGACTTACATGGGGTCCACATGGTGCGGGATCAACGGCTGCGGCTCCCCCGTCGACTCCGCTACCGTCGCTCGCGCCGGTGGAGTTCCGGAGTCGACGGGGAGCGGGTTCAGGGATCAATATATCGCGTCTTAACGAGACGCGATATATCAATCCCTGATAAATCGATCGCTACCTGCCGATACGGCGGGTAGTGAAGACGTATCTTAGGAGAGTCAGCACCTTCTCCCTGTTAAGAGATGAGTTGATCAAGCATGTTTGGATCTAGAGTTGCTATTGGGCTTGTCTACATAGGATGATCAGAAAAAATAATCAGAATTAACTAAAGATATGAATTTAAAGTGAATTAGTTAAACCACATTAAACCCATGGGGATGCTCTTATTCATAACTAAATAATCCACTTAAAATTTAAACTTTTAGTTAATTCAGATTCACATTCCTCAGGTTTGATCCATACTTAAAAGTTATATTGGCATAGCTATGCTGGTTAGGGGTGTGAAAAAACCACACCTGTGACTGACATAGGTATGCTGACAAACTCCCAGCGTACATGAAGCTATGTCAACAGAAAAGGGTTTCTGTCAACAGAACTAACACAACTCAGGGAGCTGGTGTTCCTACACTGACAGAAAAATGCCTTCTGTTTGTGTTGGCTTGGTCTACCCCAGGAGTATATATTGACACAGTTATGCCAACATAACCATGCCGACATAGGCTCTGCAGTGAAGCCATACTCTGAATGTCTGCATATAAACACGCCCTTAGAAGCCTGGGTTCCTGGCTAATCCAGGAGAAGGGTGAGCTGATTCAGAAATCTCACAGCTGGCCTGGAAAGGAAGGATGGTCTTCTGGTTAATAAGATCACAGTTCAATTGCTAACTTTCTGTATGACTTTGGGCAAGTCACTAAGGGTATGACTACACTGCAATGTAAGCCATGGGTTAATAGAATTCAAGTTGCAGATTCTGGGTTTGTTGACCTAGATCATGAGTGTCTACACGCATTTGTAACTCCAGGTTAGGAATTGTTGAATCCTGGGTCCCAACCTGGGGGTGCCAGCATCTACACTGCATTATGTGGGCCCAAGTCCAACCACCCTCTCAAAATGTGGCCGCTCTAGCCCTTTGTTCATGGTGCAGTGTCGGAAAACTTGACTGTCCAACAAACTTGACTGTCCAGAGGACGAAGGAAGTTGCCCTTTGGAATTGTGGGATACTTTCGGCAGACTCCCAGAGCGTGAGTCTAATGGGGCTATGTCTACACTGCAAAGCAATAGAGCTTGAACCCTGGGTCCCAGCTTGATTCAGGCTTGGACCATCCACTTCTGTGGGGTCCTGGGACCCTGGGTCTAAGCCCTGGTTTAGCATGATTTGTGTGTAGACAGAAGGGGAGTTAGGCCTGAGCCTCAGTTCAAATCCTGGGTTTACATTTCAGTGTAGATATACCCTAAGGGTACGTCTATACTTACCCGCTGGTTCGGCGGCCAGCAATCGATCTTCTGGGATCGATTTATCACATCTTGTCTAGACGCAATAAATCGATTCCGGAAGTGCTCGCCGTTGACGCCGGTAATCCTGCTCTGCGAGAGGAGTAGGCGGAGTCGACGAGAGAGCCTGCCTGCTGCGTGTGGACCCGCGATAAGTACCTTTAAGTTCGAACTAAGATACTTCGACTTCAGCTATGTTATTCACGTAGCTGAAGTTGTGTATCTTAGTTCGAACTGGGGGCTTAGTGTGGACCAGGCTTTAACCTCTCTGAGTTTCATCTGCAAAATGGGAACAATACAAGTACTTCTTTTGTCTAGTTAGACTAAGAGTTGTATAATGGGGAAGCTATTGCAAAATAAATTAGGTGTGAATATTAAGCTTAATTGCTATTTTGTATTAACGTGCCATGTGGACACTTTTATTCTGCACTGAGAGTGTCTTTCTGCGGTTTAGATTAATCACGTCCAAAGCAGTTTAGGCTAATCTACACAAAGGTGCTCTTAATGTGGAATAAGAGTGTGCACATGGGCAGCTAGTGCGGAATAGCGATTCTGGACAAATTCCCCCTTGCAGACAAGCCCTAAAAACTTGTCAGGACAGGGCCTGGCTCCTGGTGTGTGTTTGTGCAGTCCCTACCACAATGGGGCCCTGATTGTGGTTGCAATACAAAATAATTAATCATAATGTCAGTTCTTGCAAGAATTCTCCCATTTCGGGCTAAGATCAGCCCACCCCCCCATCCATTCCAGTTCCAGAGGCAAGGCCACAGTGGATTCAGCTCATCTCCTTACGTTTAAGGGATGCGGAGTTGGCGCTCCAGTCTGGATCCCCTCTCTGGTTTTGAATAGCAAAGTGGAGCAACCCAGGAAACTCTCAAAACGCCTTCCCTGTCTCAGCTTTCCTTCTCTCAGATGCAACTCATTTGATTTATTCCAAACTTCTCTCCAAAAAATAAATAAAAAATAAAAATCAGGCTCTGGCCTGAATCTAAGCACAAAAAATAAGGCCCACAGGATTTCTTTGCTGAAGGTCAGAAGGGGAGGGAGGTGCCAAAAAAAAAAAAAA